ATTCCGCAAAATGCTGAGACGAAGAATGGTTATTAATAAGGATAGAAATAGATAAAAGTCAAAAAAAAATTCTAATACCAACCAGATCTAAAAAGAAGCAACTTGGATGACGGAAGAAATTTTAAATTAAATGGAAGAAAGACATGTATACATGATGATACAAGTAGAAGAGGATATGGTTTTAAAGATATTAAAAGAAGAAATTAACATAACATTAAAAACAGCAAAAATGCTGTTTTTAATGTAGAAGAAAACTAACATGGAAGTATTGCGAGAAATGGGCAAAAAATACTAAATAATAAACACAATAAAAATAAGAGTCACAAGTTACAATATCTGAGACACATAATGAGGGGACAGCGATATGAACTGCTAAGGCTGATAATACAGGGAAAGATAGGAGGAGGAAGGAATATAGGAAGAACTAAAGTGTCATGGTTGAAGAATTTAAGGGACTGGTTTAAATGCAGTTCTATAGAACTCTTTAGAGCAGCAGTAGATAAAGTAAAGATTGCGATGATGATATCTAACCTTCGATTGGAAGACGGCACTTAAAGAAGAAGTAGTAGGTAAATTTAGTTATTATATTAACAAATTTATATATGTTTCGAAAGATTTTCGCGGTTAGTACAATTAAACATAGAGCTAAGATTAATACTATTACAAAAATAAATATTAAACTTAACAGTCTTCTGGATTAAACCGCGTTGATTTTCATCTCGCCGAGCTTTCGACATCATTTCTCACGTCTTCTTTAGGGCTTCCAAGGTCTGAGTCTCCCGAACACCCAGACAATATTAAACTGCAGTAGTGCATTGATTGATCCTATGACGCTACTCGTGACGACGCTATTTGGTGACGCTAGTTCCGTAACGCTTGCCTCGGCATTTTACTGTAGAAAACAAAAGTAACACAACGCCAGTATAGGATCTTCGCTTCACAAGACCACACAACTAGTTATTTACAGATCTCATAATACCTACTAATAAAATATAAAATTATAAACGTTATTTTCGAGTTTTACTGTATTAGTTTTTATCCAGGTCTATAAGTAATCCAAATTTTTGATATATTAGATTCATGAACTCCTATATAGCTTCGGTAAAGTAAAGTAAAGTTCGTGTAACCTTCTGGCTAAGGTCTAGTGCTAGGGTTTTCAGGCCGCGCAAGCGGTCTGAACTCCAACTCCAAAGAACTCCACGACGGTCTGAACAGGTTAAAAAACGGGAAAGCTGCAGGTGTGGATGATATATGCAGTGAACAAATAAAGCATTTAGGCCAAGGAGCAAAAAACTGGATCTTGCAATTTTATAACACGTGCTGCAAAACCTGCAAAATTCCAAAATCATGGAGGAAATCTAAAGTAATAGCCTTGTTAAAACCAGGAAAGGATCCAGAAGACCCCAGTAGCTACAGACCTATTTCGCTATTGTGTCACTTTTTTAAACTATACGAGAGACTCATACTCGCCAGAATAGAAAAAAATGTCGACAAGCACCTCATCCCACAACAAGTAGGATTCAGACCTGGCAAATCTTGCACCGGTCAAGTCCTCGCATTAACAGAACACATTGAAGAGGGCTTTGAAGAAAAACTTATAACAGGGGCTGCTTTTGTAGATCTGACAGCAGCCTATGACACAGTAAGGCACAAAACATTGCTCCGTAAATTATACGACACTCTCAATGACCACCATCTGGGAAAGGTCGTATATTCCTTACTGCAAAATAGACATTTTTTCGTTATGCTGGAGGGTAAAGTGAATAGGTGGAGAGCTCAAAAAAACGGCCTCCCACAGGGAAGTGTTTTAGCACCAATGCTCTTCAATATATACACAAACGACCAACCTACTCCGACCGAAACCAAGCACTTCCTCTATGCTGACGATCTTGCAATATGTGCTCAAGAAAATAGTTTTGAAGAAGTGGAGGAGAAACTCGAAACTGCCTTAAAAACAATGACAGCGTACTACCTGCAGAATTCTCTGAAACCCAATCCCTCTAAAACCCAAGTCTGCGCTTTCCACCTTCGCACAAAGGAAGCCAAGCGAAAAGTCCAAATTGTATGGAATGGTAATGCATTAGAACACACAAATCAACCTATATATCTTGGAGTAACTCTGGACCGATCCCTCACCTACAGACAACATTGCATAAAAACAAGAGGGAAAGTAGACTTTAAAACGAGGAAAACCTTGAATAGGATAAGAACGGGGCGCGGGGGTTGCTACAGTAAAATCAAACATGGCAAAATGGGGAAAAATAGACCAAAATGATGTGAACTGTGACTGTGGAGAAACACAGAATATGGAACATCTTCTTACATGCAGAAACTGTTCTCATCGATGTACCCTTGAAGATTTATGGCTCGCCAACAAAGATGGAACCGACGTAGCCCGATAATGGGCCGAAATTTTATGAATGACATGTCCGGACACGATAAAGTAAAGTAAGTAGTTAAATTAGAAATTGAAAATTTTGTCGGTGCCGGGATACGAACCCGTGCCCTCCAGCCTGCTAAGCCAGTAGCATAGCCACTGACCTACGGCTGTCACAGAGCTTCGGTGAAGACATGCCATTGAATTTTCTAAGGCCTTTATATAATTCTAAGATCTGACTTCTCATCTCGTCCATGATTGATCTTCTCCAAGTTTGTGCTAGGCTACCTCCTTGAAAATGCCACTCTAGGGCAGTACTTACAATAAAGGGCGTTATTTTTACGAAGTTGTGGCCAATCCCACCCACTTTTGAAATTTATTTCATTCTCTATTCCTTTCTGTTCGGTCAATTGTAGCAGATCTTTGTGAGAAGCAGGTAAACAGCTGCTGTTTTAAATGATTACCATTCGCTGTAGATAATCATCGTTAACTGTGTTTAGGATTGCATAACAAGGAATTTTTATTTGTATTCTACCCAGCTTGCATTCTTGTTCTACCTTTGTAGTTTTTTTATCCCTATTCTATTCCCTACTTCTTCTTCTTCTTTAAGTTCCATCTTCTATCGAAGGTTGGAAATCATCATGCCTATGCGGACTCTGTTGACAGCCGCTCTAAAAAGTTCTGCACTAGTTCATTCAAACCATTCCCTTGAGTTCTTAAGCCAGGATATTCTTCGTCTTCCCACATTTCGCTTTCCTCGGATTTTGCCCTGCATAATAAGTTGTAATAATGCGTATTTTTGCCCTCTCATCACATGTCCGAAATACTCAAGTTTTCGTCTTTTAATAGTTAATATTATTTTCGCCTCATTTCCTATCCTTCTAGTTACTTCCATGTTTGACATTCTTTGAATCCATGATATTCGTAGGATTCTTCTGTAACACCAAAATTCAAAGGCGGCCAGCTTATTCAGATGAACTTGTTTTAGTGTCCAAGCTTCCAGACCATAAAGAAGAGTAGAAAACACGTAACATCGAAGCATTCTCAGGCGTAGCTCTAACCTTATATCCTGACAACAAAGAAACTTTTTAAGTTTAATAAATTGTACGTGCTATTTCAATACGTGTCTTAATTTCTTTGGTTTGGTCTACATCTGATGTTATCCATGTTCCTAAATATTTATAGTTATTAACATTCTCAATTGCAGTATCTTCAATAGTCAATTGGATATTTGCATGTGCAGATTTAGTCATGATCATGCATTTAGTTTTCTTTAAATTTATCTTCAGTCCGTACTCATGACAGCGTTCATTAAGGCGTTGCATTAGGTTCTGTAAATCATTGTTGTTATCCGTAATTATTACTGTATCGTCTGCAAAACGTAAGTTATTCAAAACATCTCGATTGATAGATATACCTTCTATTGAGTCTGAGAGCGCTTCTTGAAATACCGCTTCACTGTAGACATTGAAAAGTAGTGGGGACAGCACGCAACCCTGGCGGATTCCTCTCTGTATTTTGATATTTTCGGTGTACTGGCTGTCAACTCTTACCTTGGCAGTTTGATTCCAATATAAATTAGATATAATTTTCAGATCACGACTGTCAATATTTTTGCTTTTTAATATATCTACAAGCTTTTTATGTTGAACTTTATCAAATGCCTTTTCAAAGTCTACAAAACATAAGTACATATCCTGATTCATGTCCATGCATCTCTGAGCCAGCACATTCAAGCCGAACAAAGCATCTCTTGTATTCCCTACTTCTATTCCTTCTTAATTACTAAAAGTAACTTAACCAAACTTAAGCATAACCTGTTCAAACCAAACCGCGCAAGATCACTTAATCTTATCAAAGAGAGCCTTTCGCAGTTGGTGTTTTGGAGTGGTGTATTCTATTCGGGGTTTATAGGCAGTGGTCTGGAATTTCTTCTTCCTCACTTATTGTATGAAACTGCGGTAGACAATATACAAGGCGATGCAGGAGTGGAGTACATGTAATCTCTTGTGGGAGATAGATATCGTTTAAAAAGCTGGAATTGAGTTTCTCAAACGTTTACTGGCACCAGTTTGATTTCCTCTATTTTTTGTACTATTGAACAGTTTTATCTTTATCAAGTGATGCAAATATATATTAGCTAATTAATAATAAATTAAAAGCTATTAGATTAGTGTAATAAAGCTACTATCCTAATTTCAGAATAATCGTGAGTATTATTCTAGTGTATTGTAATACTAGATTTATTTATGGCAAGCTCCTGAATGGAATTTAAATAACAAGGTTTTACGGAAACCACATTAATCATTATTAATAGTATTACTTTCATAAGTATAACCCGTTCTTGATTCTGCATAAACAATTTAGTTTGAATGAATGTATCAATCGTCAAGTAAATTTAAATGAATTTATTTATTTTAATTTAACAGTTTTTTCAAATTGTTACTTACATTGTATTTAACATATCATCCCAAAAAATGATAAAGGGATTTATTAACAATTACTTACTTCCAAAATTTTCTTACAAAATAAGATACTTGAATAAGTTCATTTATAATATAAAAATATTAAAATTAATAGGTACATCTTGTCAAATTTAACGTGATACTTGGCCGATTTGAAATTAGGCTTCACCCACGATGCGCATTCGACCACAACACAATTCGTCCTTATTATTTCTTGGCCCTTCGAAGTGCAAGGTACTTGTATAGTCTGCGACACAGTTTTTTTATTTTACTTATGTTTAAAGTTACTGTGTATTGAAGAAATATCGTATTACAATAAATTTGATCCAATACCAACTGCTGACAAAAATGAAGAAGAAATAGAAAACTTTTATAGCGAACTTCAAAAAACATTACATCTCACAGCATCTAGAGACGTAACAGTGATCATGGGTGATTTCAACGCAAAAATTGGCGAGGGAAAATGCTACCCTAATGTAGGACCATATGGGCTTGGTGAACGAAACGACAGAGGGGATCGCCTAATAGAATTTTGCCAGGAGCACAATGTTATAGCCTCAAATACATTCTTCAAATTACCTAAGCGACGCCTTTATACATGGAAATCGCCAGCTGACAAAGACAACAAAATCGTCAGAAATCAAATTGATTACTTCCTAATAAAACACAGATATCGAAACTTAATTCAGGCAGTAAAGGCATATCCAGGAGCGGACGTATCTTCTGATCATAGTCTTCTTATTGCTAGATTTCAACTTCAACTAAAAAAGACACAAAAAAGCCGCAATAACAATAAACTTAACATACAGAAACTAAAGTCAGAAGAAACAAAAGAAAATCTGAAACACGAAATCAACACAAATCTAGACAGAAACCCAGGAAATAACTGCAACGTAGAGCAGCAGTGGCAATTCTTCAAAACCTCTATATTGGAGCCAAGTAAGAAACTACTTACAACAACTAAATATAAGAAAGAAGAATGGATGACAGAGGAAATTCTAGAGTTGATGAATGAAAGGAGAAAAAAACAAAACCATCAATAAGACGCGCTATAAACAGCTTCAAAACCAAATAAGAAGAAAAATTAGGGAGGCTAAAGAGACCTACTTCTCTGAAAAATGTAAAGAAAGAGAAGAACTTCAAAACAGATATGACAACTTCAACCTACATAAAAAAGTCAAAGAACTAGCCGGAGTAGGAAATAGAAGAACCTCAAATATATTGCTCGACAAAAATGGAAATATTATATTGGAAACAGAACAAAAACTACGACGATGGAAAGAGTACATCGAAGAATTATTTCATGACCAGAGAGAAGCTAGTACATCTGTAGATAGCCAAACGGGAGATGTAGGTCCAGAGATAACCAAATCAGAGGTTAGTCAGGCATTAAACTCAATGAAAACCAATAAATCTGCTGGTCCAGATGAATTACCAAGCGAGCTACTAAAGTTGGTCAACGAGAAAAACCTGGACATAATAGTAGAACTATTCAACGCTATCTATACTACGGGAATCATTCCTAGAGAAATGTTGACATCAGCATTTGTGTGTTTGCCAAAGAAGATGAATGCCAAAGAGTGTAGTGACTATCGAACCATAAGCTTAATGTCACATACCTTGAAAATTCTCTTGAAAATTATCCACGCCAGAATACACTCTAAACTGGAGCTGGATATTAGTGACACTCAATATGAGTTCCGCAATGGTATGGGTACCAGAGAGGCATTATTCTCCTTCAATGTGCTGACACAGAGATGTTTGGATGTTAACCGTCCTCTTTACGTCTGTTTTATAGACTACAATAAAGCGTTTGATAAAGTAAAACATGATCGACTCCTGGAAATTCTAAAAATAAAAACCTAGATGAAAGAGATTTAAGGCTAATAACACACCTCTATTACAATCAGCGAGCAATAGTAAGAATCGAAAAAGAAACATCTGAAGAAATGGAAATAAAGAAAGGAGTCAGGCAAGGCTGCATTCTATCACCTCTATTATTTAACGCCTATTCTGAAGAGGTAATTCGAGAAACTCTGGAAGATGAAACAGTCGGCATAAGAGTAAATGGAGTCTTAATTAAAAACATCAGATATGCAAATGATACAGTAATAATAAAACTTTGAGGGTGTACAAGGCAACTATCGAACACGGTGATTAATTTAATCTTGCCCAAGTACTTTCGATCAATAGATCATCTTCAGGGGCATTTCGTCAATTGTGGCCTATCCGACATAGTAGAATGTCATAAATGTAAAATCTGGACATAACATAAGACATTTTACATTTATGACATTCTACTATATCGGATAGGCCACAATTGACGAAATGCCCCTGAAGATGATCTATTGATCGAAAGTACTTGGGCAAGATTAAATTAATCACCGTGTTCGATAGTTGCCTTGTACACCCTCAAAGTTTAATTATTCGAACATTCAACCTTATATTGACAGTAATAATAGCCGATAGTTTACAAGACCTGGAAAGACTCATCAACAAAATAGTCATGTGTAGTAGGGAGTACGGACTCTCTCTTAATGGCAAAAAGACGAAGTTTATGAAAATTTGTAAAAACAACTATAATACTAACGAAATCTTGATAGTAGAGGGCCAGCAGATCGAAAGAGTAAAAAAGTACACTTACCTAGGAACACTTATAACAGAAAATAATGACTACACGGCAGAAATCAAAGTCAGAATCGAAAAAGCACGTTCTAATTTTATAAAAATGAAAAAGGTCCTATGTGGCAAAGATCTAACATTAGCTCTTAAAGTACGCCTAACAAAATGTTACGTATACAGTGTACTATATTATGGAGTGGAATCATGGACGTTAAATCTAGATACCATGAGACGACTTAACGCCTTTGAGATGTGGACCTATAGAAGAATTATGAGGGTTTCCTGGGTAGATAGAGTTACAAACAATGAAATACTGAGAAGAATAGGCAAAGAGAAGGAAATTGAACTTACAATTAAAGAAAGAAAGCCACAGTATCTCGGACATGTGATGCGGGGCGATAAGTATGGCATCCTGCGACTCATAATGCAAGGAAAAATAGATGGCAGAAGAAGCATCGGAAGAAGACGAATTTCATAGCTGAAGAACCTGGGAGAATGGTTTGGATGCAGCTCAAAACAACTATTTAGAGCTACTGCCTCAAAAATTAAGATAGCTATGATGATTGCCAACCTCCGTAGCGGAGATGGCACCTGAAGAAGAAGAATAGATTTGACTTTTTAAATAATTATTATTAAGTATTTTAAATTATAAACATGGATTTTCATTCAAAATTAGAAGGCAAAGTCTTGTCTGGACAAACGAGGGAGGTAATAGCGAATGTAATTATTTTTATGCAGAGAGAAGCGATGCAAAATCCGCATGTTAAAGATTTTAAAAAAGTTTAAGAGCGGGACTTAGCAACGGGACTAAGTATAGCCATTATAAAACGGATCTCTCGTGAAATGAAAAATATAGAAGAAGATGCTTCTACATCATTTTTGACGCCTAACAAAAGAATGAGATCTGCCCCAAAATCCAACTTGGGCGATTTTGACAAAAGTTTACTTCGGCGTATAATAATAAATTATCATGTCACGGAAAAACAAGTTCCTACATTGCGACATATAACAACAAAAAAATTAATGAAGACAATATTTATACAGGGTCGAATGAAACTTTGAGAAAAGTGATGAGAGATATGGGATTTCGATCGAAGAAAGCGAAGAATAACAGGAAAATCCTAATAGAAAAACCTGATATACAAGTGCTCCAGATGAAGTTTCTCAGAAATATTAAACAATATAGAAAAGGAAATCGGCCCATAACGTATTCCTTATACCAGCCCATACCGTATTGGTTATAGAAAATGCATCATACCACAATGTCCAAGTGCAAAAATGTCCCACTATGAGGTGTAGAAAAGACGAAATGAAGGAATGGTTAAGACAAAAGAACATTTCCTTTTCAGACGAAATGATAAAATCAGAATTATATAATCTAATAAAAATTCACAAACACAGAAATAAAACTTATAAAATAGATCAAATTATGAACAATGCAGGTCACTTCGTCTTAAGACTACCTCCCTACCACCCGGACTTAAATCCAATTGAGTTAGTGTGGGCTGCTCTAAAACAATATGTGGCAAATAAAAATGTAGATTTTAAATTTAAAAATGTTGAAACATATTGTGATAAGTTTTTTTGAAAATTTTCCCAAGATGAGTGGAAAAAATATTGCGAGCATGCTATTTCTTATGACCGTTATTATATGGGAAAGGAACCAGCTCTAGACTTAATTGTAGACGATTTAATAATACATTTGCAGGAAGATAGTGACACTGGTAGTGTGGATTCTCTAGAAAATAGTAGTTCGGAGACAGAAAACGAACTTGAATTTTAATCATGTCTTTGGTGATGAGTTAGAAATTAAATTATCTCAAGTGTCTTGTGTAGTCAAGTAATTTGCATCTAAAAGTAGTATTAGACATCAGACTAATCAGTGAGTTTGAGAGCCAGCGGCACCGAAACACCGTTCTGAAAGACATGTAAACTGAGCATTGAGGTCACGTACCGACAGACGTGGGCGAATGGACAGGCCTTTTGGGCACCCAGTCGCTGAGAAAAACAAAATTCATTTTGCCAATTCGACTACGACGACATCGACTCAGGCCGATGGCTCACTGTCTGGACAACACATTTAGGAGACATGAGTCCCAAGTAGTCATTCAGTTTTTAGTCATCCAAAGGGAGAAAAGCTCTTCTAGCTACCCCTAGATACTTAATGAAGAAAACCTAGACATTATTGTCAAGCTCTTTAACGACATCTACGATACGGGCCAGATTCCAAAAGATTGGCTTCGATCTACATTTATTGCCCTACCAAAAACACCACGTGCGAACTTCTGCAAGGACCACCGACTAATAAGCCTAATGAGTCACTTTTTAAAACTTTTTCTGAGAATACTTCACACTAGATTGTTTAAGAAATGTGAAGAGGTCAGTGGATGGAGTCAGTTTGGTTTCAAAAAATGGACTTGGCACGAGAGAAGCGATCTTTAGTATGCAAACATTGATACAGAATTGTTTAGATCAAAGAAAGGATGTTTTTATCTGTTTCATCGATTACGAGAAAGCATTCGATAATGTAAAACATGAATTGATGATAAAATACCTACAAGGGTTGGGATTGGATGCAAAGGATATAAGAATCATCGCCAATCTGTATTGGAATCAGACAGCAAC